AGTTTTGCTGGCACGGTTTTCGTGATGGTTTCCTTGAAACGCTCACCAGACTGTTTCAGCCGTTCCCCAGACTGGCGGATTTTCTCACGTCGTTCGGTTGTTACTATGCGCTCACCCAGCTTGTTGACCTTGGTGCCCAGATTCTCTTTGGTCTTAGTCATGTTCTCACGGGAGAAGGTCTGCTTCAGGCTTTCGATGCGCTTCAGGCCGGTCTTCTTTAGTTTGGCAGCAGTAGACGAGTCGGCCTCCTCAACGACCATGTATTCCTCATCCGAGTCAGGAAGCGGAGCCTCCGGGACATCTGGGTCTATGGGAGAGTCTCCACCTGTTGCTCCCTTCGTAGATGCTTTAGGAGCAGCTACAGCTGGGACCTCATTATCGCCCTGTGGGAAGAGAATACATTTATCATAAATTTACCATACTTTTACCACGTATAGCACAGCTGAGACCTTAAATCAAATGGTTTTAGACTATTTAAAAGATAAAATAAAGAAAAGAAAAAAATGCACATAATGAACAACCCATCCCATGAGTGTAACAGTGGGGGTCTCCAAACTCGGTCCTGGAGTGCCCTGCAGAGTTTAGCTCCAACCCTAATTAAACACACCTGAACCAGCCAATCAAACCATAGTAATGAATGGGAAGTGCCGTAAACTGAATCCCAGCTGTCGCAAAAAGTCAGTGACGTGTCACTGTCGTGGTAAACTCTAAAAATGGTTCAATCCAAAAGTATTATTTACTGTAAAACATGTTGAAGATTAGCAGATACGGTGTCGATTCATTAAATGATAAGCTGTTTCCTCTAAAAAGCTGTTTATTCAGCATCGTGAAGCCACTCCTCCATTGACATCCATTAAAAAAAACAGCCTCTGGTCTCCTTTCCCACGTACTGCCAGACCGGAAGCGTTAGCTTTAGCTGTTATGCTTTTTCGGCTAATGGTAAGAGACTGAGGTCTCTGCAGAGCAAAAGTGGGAGTTTCTTTTGTGGGTGTTTTCAAACTGCAGGGTGTTTCTCAATCATGCAATCAAAATGATCCCCCTTACCTAACCCCACCCCTAAACCTACCGTCACTATAACGTCAGCCAATCAGGAAACATGATCTAAAAACACCCCGATCTGGTAACTCCGATTACTTTCCTGCAGAGACCTATACTTGGAATAAGCGGTTATCGGTCCGCCAATCAGAATCAAGTATTCCAAAGCCGTTAAATAACTTGCCGAAGCCGAAACCCAGACGGCTATAAAATCATTTCACATTTGGTGTGGGTTCACCATTTGATATCAAACATAACGTAAGGTAAAATATAGGTTCTAAGCAAAGTTGAGAATAACAGTTGGCTATTCAAATAAAAAACTTAGGCAATATCTGCACAGCAAACTGTTGCGCTGTGAATCTGTACACGTATCGGATTGCACAGTGGTTTGCAAATAAAGATCAGGTACATTTTAAATCTGTTTCAAAAGAGTTTAGATTACATTAATAGCGTGCTGTTGCACAACTCGCACATAACATTAACCTATCATAGCTCAGTATATAAAAAGGCTAATAGCTATAAGTGAATCAAGTTACGTGACTCACTCAGTCATGGACTCAAACCAGTTAAATTACCATTTCTGATAAATAATGCGCTTTATACACAAACAAAATGAACATTTTTATATATATGAAAAAGACTACTGATAACAAACGGCCAGTGTTCAATCGGTTATTAAAGATTCTGTCGACAGATTTTTTAACCGTCACTCTGACAGACGCGAAAGCACTATATTAGGACATGAAGCTTCAGTTCAGCTCTCAGAATAACCCTGAACAAATCTGTCAGCTGTTCTCCTCACGGTACAAGAGATCATCAAACCCATGGGCACTAATTAAAAGTAAGATTGTTAGAGAAAGAAAATATTAACCAATTTGAGTACACTAGTTGCCTATTGATCCTCAAGAAATTTGTCTATGATATGGAAAATGGAGAACACTAGCCTATTACCTATGATAAATCTTCAGAAAACTAACATACATTTTCAACTAAAACACTGTAATTGTACATTTTCCATAATTATGTATCTGAAAACATAACGGTAAATTGAATTTTATTTGAGTAATGCAGTGTCTTAAATTCAAAACTACCTACAGAATATTTGCCACGAACTTGCAGCTTTTACTATCATAGTTTCAGAAAATCCTCTCTTAAAAATGTATGAAAACATTATGGTATTATTAAAAAGGTTTTAGATAAATTGTCAATCATTTTATTTTTAATCCTATTTTTTTAATTGTTAAATCCTATTACTATTGGGCTATTTAAAACCTAAAAAAAAATAAATAAATAAATAAATAATAATTGTGCTGATTTTTATTAATTGAATGCATTATTAAGTGCTTTTGTACACAGTAATTGGGCTGTCCTAATACAAGCTCCCAAATAATTCTCAAGCTATTTCAAACAATAGCAGATCCATTGCAGATGTATGAAACAGTATTTCCACATTTAGCAATGAAACATTCCTCTATGATGTCATAATTCTGTACTCAATCTGATTTCGGACATCTACGTTTTAAACAACAACGGTATTCCAAATAAGGCTTCATAGTTCATTCTCTTATGAAATAAAGAGTGTATAATAATTAATTTTTACTCCTTCATGGATCACATTACATGGTTTATCTGTGTGTTACTCCAGACATCCTGCCACATATCAGATAAAATGGCCGCCAACCTAATCCTCCTTTCTCAGTGGGGACTGGCAGAACATTCCTGCTGTATTGCTTTTGGCTGTAGGCCACATGACCTTCTAATGTACCGGGATTTATCTTGGATCACCTTGTATCTTGAAATAATCTGTCTTATCTTTGATAATCCCCTTTGCTCAAGTTGAAATGTTGTAGGACAAGCTCGAAGAGTAAAAAATGATCAACCAAGACTGAAGGAAAATGGTCTGGTATTGTAAGGTATACTTCAAAAATTAGACCTGATTTAGAGATCCAAACTTCATATGGAACCCAGAAAAACCCAGTCCAAAAGCTGAAATGTTGTAGGACAGACTAAGAGTAAAAAAACAATCGATGAATGGAGTTTCAGCCATGAGCAAAGGAAAAAATTCCACTATTCTAAGGTACGTTTCCAAAATTGGACCTGCTTTAGAGATCCAACCCCAAAAATCCAATCCAAAAGAAAACATTCGCATGCCAGTAAAAGCAAAGAGTCTTACCTGGTAGATGACGACACGAAACTTGTTCTTGTTCAGCAGCTCGACTTGGGTTTCCTCCACCTTCTTGACACGTATGTTCTGCTTCTCCACCCGTACACGAACGTCCTTGACGTGGCAGCTGACCTTGCGTGTTTTCTCTAGAAGTTTCTCCACGGTGCTACTCGTCGCCGTGTGCTCCTTTGTCAACTTCACCACGTCCGCCTGGATGGTCTTCACGGTGTTCTCCAGCTCCAGCTGCCGCTCCTCCATGCGTTGCTGGCACGCCTGCACATTGTCTATGATCCCGGACACCCTCTCCAACAGAGTGAAGATGTTCAGGGCGCTGGGCTCGTCCGCCACACCTGCCAGTCCCAGTTTGTCGGCCATGCTTGTCCTTGTAACCCAGTGAGGACCCTAGACTAGAACTGCCGAAGGTCCTGCTTTGGTGGATTTCTGTTGGTGCACAAGGGGGTATTGGGTTATGGGGTGGGTTGCTGGATCATGGGGCCGTGGTGGGCCCTGGAAGACGCTTGGATGAGATGGACTCGCCCTCTGACTGGAGCTTCATGGACGTTCTGGAGAATATAGAAGCTCCACCCTTCCTGTATATAGGGAACACAAGGTTCAAAGGCCAAACACACAGGGATTGACTGGAAAAGAGGGCAGAGGGGTTGGAAGGAGGCACCAAACCAACTCACCGTGAATTCAGCTTTATAAATATCCACAGTAAGGTGACACGTTGTCATTTTTAGAAGATGCATGTGCAGCTGAGATAATGGAAACCCCCTTCGTTCTCAACTGCACTATTTATTTTACAAAGAGCTATGTTTCCTCGATGAAAAGCGAATGGCATGGTCATATTTTGTTAAAAATAATAACACAAACAATACCAAGATGTTCTATCACTGATAGTCACCTGATTGTCCAACTTTGGACAAAAGGTTTCAGCTTTACCATTACCAAGTTTGGGAAGATTCACAACTGAGGGAGCAATTTGCCTACAACCATGTCCACAATGCTTTAAGATCGACCTCAAGCATGATTTTGACATCCACGTTGTGACCTGGGGAAGATGATCCACCTTAAGATGGACTGTCCAAACCCGTGAAATGATGCCACCAGCTGCAGTCTATTCTTAAACCCCGAGCCGTCTATAATTACTCATCACTCATGTCATAGCTGAGCGAGGCTTACTTAATTCTCCAGAACTCTTCATTCAGCTGATACTCGACACCACTTTCCTACACACAAAATCTCATGTGAGCAAACAGTCAAAGTTTTGTGGTCAGATTCTTTTTCTGCAAATAGCTGCTTCTTGATGCAATCTGTCATTTTAAAATTCGAGAACCCAAGATGTCACTTAAAGGGATAGTTCACCCAAAACCAAGCCTTTATGGCTTTCTTTCTGCTGTAGAATACAAGAAGATATTTTGAATCATGTTTTTGTCCATACAACTGACATTTTTCAAAATATCTTCTTTGTGTTCAACAGATAAAATGACATACAGGTTTGGAACTACATGAAGGTGAGTGAATAATCCCTTTAAGACATCAAGATCCGTTTTAAAATTGTACAGATGTCCAAACTGGTTCAAACCTGAAGTCTTGACACATGATGCTAATGATTATAAGATGTCAAATTACAAAGTACTTGAACTGGATACTTAAAATTAGATTACTCAGAGAGATTGTATGACTTAGTACAGGCCACATCTGAATTACTCGAGGTTTAACAACTAACTTTACACCATGTCTATGTGTACAGCCATCAAAAATATCTGTAAGACAGAATTAAATTTTATTAAATCTACAGCACTGGACACAGTTTAACAGGTCATGCGATATGCAGTTCATAGAATTAAATTAATGTCAATAATGTTTGTTTCAACATTAACAACACTGATAACATTAGAACATAAAAACTACAAACATTTCAACATTGATAAGTATAGCTAGTCAAACACGTTGCATTTCATTCTCTTTCAAAAGAAACTGGAAACGTCAGTACTTCGTCGGCGCACTTGTTCATGTCCAATTAAATTTGGTGTTCAGCTATGTTTGATTTGAAGAAATAAAAATCAAATCAAAGGGGGCAGTTAAAGACAGTTCAGAGTTAATATTTTCAGTAAAGAAGCACATTCCATGAAAATCGAGGACGTCCGTTTTTGTGGTGCAGTTTGTGTGCCGAGAGTTACATTTAACAATATGTGAAAAAAACTGGTACCACAATCTAAAGGGAAAAAAAAAAAACTCGACAAAAAAGAGCTAGCTTTTATCATTCATTTGACAGTGTTTATCACTGACATCAAGTACCTAAAATGTCCTGAAAACAATAAGGCACCATCCAATAAAATAAAAATAAAATTTAAATTGATAATAACCTTATTGTCCAGAGTCAAGAAAGCACAAAACAAAAAACACATTAAAACTGTAATCCACTCGGTACAAAAAGTATAAAAAATAAAAATAAAAACAAGCTACATCATCCTTGAAGAGGCATTTGATGAAAAGTTCTGCTTTTGCCGTCTTCCACGATTGTTCTTAGGACATTTCCTGTAAAAAAAATAAATAAATAAACAATAAATAATTAAATAAATACTATTTGATTATATATATATATATATATATATATATATATATATATATATATAAATGTATACATTTTATAAATTTCAATTATATATATATATATATATATATATATATATATAAATCATTTTTATAATAAACCAAATGTTATTGTAGTGAAATGTTATAGATTTTTTTTCCTCCAGGACTTACCTGGTAATACACATGACAACTGCCACAATAATGGCAATCTGCACGGCTCCAATGATAGCAGCTATGAGCACATAATGAAGTTTCTGACCACTGGGTACGACATACAGGATGTTAAAGTCCGCGATCTCATCACACTGTGTCCCCGTGTAACCTGAATCACACCTGTGGAAATACAAGAAACCATCTGAAACTCATTTTCCAACCAATGTCCTTTTTTAATGAACACCTGAAAGGATGCACACGGTTCTGTGCAATCAAATACGAGACGCTCACCGGCAGGAGGCGATGCCGTAATTAAATTCACACTGGCCATGAACGCAGAAGTTGGCGTAGTCGTCCGTGCAGGGAACGGGCTTCCAGCCGTATCCTTTTCCTTCACCGGCTTTTGCTGGGTCTAAAAATACAACAATCGTTTTTAAACTCCATTGCTGAAAGTAGCAGATTTAGCTTTGTTTTAACACTTAAATATACAGCACTATAAGATTGAGGACTGCAGTTTATTAAGGGTATGTGACAGTTTGATGCCTTTTAGAAGAAATGTTTCTTAAGCAGCAAATCAGTATGCTAGAATGATCTCTGAAGGATCATGTGACTCTGAAGACTGGTGTAATGATGCTGAAAATTCAGCTTTGCATCTCAGGAATAATAAAGCAGTAAGCCCCGTGAAGCCGTGGTTTACAGTGAATTTATAACAGCTAAGGGGCATTGTTAGGCACGACCTAACACGGGAAGCGGAGTGCCTAAAACCCCCTTAGCTGTTATAAATTCACTGTAAACCACGGCTTCACAGGGTTTATTGCTTTTATAAAACTGTTTCACAAAATAAAACAGAGCAAATAAAGTGTAATGATATTAATAAAAACAGTATTCTTTCACCAAACAATGTAGTTCCTCAGAATCAGTTGTGGTTGCAACAAAGTGGTTGTAAACGTAAACAAAGGTGTGTGTTTGTAGAGTAATTTACAACAGCTTTGAACGTGGCTCAGCCAATCAGAATCAAGGACCGGAACTATCCGTTTTATAAATTACATTTTAAAATATATTTAAATAGAATTTTTTTTTATTGTAACATATTTAACAATATTTTTTAATCTACCCTCTACAAAATAAATTCAGCCTCGGTGAGCATAAGAGACTCTGAAACGACTTCCCTTTTTGATTGACATCACCAAACTCTTATTTTTCAGCCCCTCCCCTCCAACCATGTCATATAGTGATACTTTTCACTATCCAATCAATTCCAAGTGGATAAAAACATTCATTTTTCTCATTAGATATTCTTCACCCTGAAATATTTCACATTATGGAAGTGATTTAAAAGATGAAGATGATTAGAAATGTACTTACCAATCAATTCTGGCTTATATGGAAGTCCAGCTTCAGTTTTCTTAGCTTTGTCTTTATCTAAATGATAAAAAACAAACATGGATTGGCTTTGGTAGACAAACTATCCTTCAAAATCTCACATAAAAATCCTGGGACTGTTTGGCTTGATGCATTATCTGCAGTGCCGTGACTGTGACAGGATCTGACCTGGGCATCTCCCTAAATGTTTCACATCAATCTGTTCCTGCTTCATGCAGGACGCCTCTCGCACCAGGCAGGGGTTATGGTAGGAGTTTCCATCTGTGCCGCACACTGGATTCTCATTGTGCCCACTGCAGTCGATTTTACACGAACAGCTGCAACATTAAAAAAGAACAGCACACAAATTTAAATGCTGCGAGTCTCAATTGTGCTATGAATTATTCAAAGGACAAACATTTTGCTGGTACAGCATAAATGTTTTTGATAAAGCTTCAGTATGGAAGCTTGTTTCAAACACAGCATAACACATTTTAAAAAGATAATCGCGACTTTTTATCTCACAATTTTGTCTTTTGTTTGTATCTCACAATTGTGTGATTTAAACTTACTGAATTGTGAAATAAAAAGTCACGATTAGCTTTTTTTATGTTTCAAAACTGGGAGATCTAAACTCAAAATTCAGAGAAAAAGGTCAAAGTTGCGAGATGTTAATTTGGGATTATGAGAAATTTGGTCAGAATTCGGAGTTTATATTTTGCAATTCAGATTTTTTCCCCTTTATTTTGATATACAAAAGTCACAATTACCTTTTTTATTTTTTATTCTGTGGCAGAAATGGGCTTTCATAAATCAAGGATATTATCGCTAACTAAAACGCTAAAAAATGAATTACTTGAAATAAAATAAACATGAACTGAATTAAAACATTTTTTAAAAATGTAACTTATTTGAGGTAGTTGTCAAGGCAACATTTCTCATTTTCATTTAATTTCACTTAGTTGAAGTACTAAAATAACAAAAGCTAAAACATAACACAAAAATACAAACATTAAGAAATTTACAACTAATAAAATTTAAATGAAAACAGAAAATATTAAAATCAAATCAAATTCAATATTAGCAAAAACTATAACAGCATATCAGTGATACTAAAATAACACCTGGTAAATTTGGTCACTAATAAGATCGGCTGTAAATCTGGCCGTACATCAACTGTCCCTGTTAGACCAGTCCTGTGTGATTGTCTCCCCCTGCTGGCTGATGTAACTGAACTCTAATGAGCTGTGAGTGTTTTGAGAGCTGATGTAGGATTCTTTTTCCCTGAGCTCCTGAATCTCATGTCCATACTGTTCATTAGTACTTGGCAAGAAAATGTGAAAGTAACATGAACTAGGCAGAAAAACTTTTCATACAAAATAGTTTCACAACGCTTCCCCGTCTCATGGGAGAAATGTTATTTTCTCGGCTTTGATAGAACTGAATTCTTTCCAGCATTCATGCTTTTATATTATACACTGGCAGTTGTTTCCAATAAATAAATATAAATAATAAACATACATTCATTACTTTTAAAAGCTGGCATGAAATAGCACAGGACTCATTAATGAACAACTCCTGGATACTCATTAATCTGGCTAGACAACATAAGCAGAAATCATAAAGGAATTAATGCAGCACGTACGAGTCCTCATCCTCTGCGTCTTCATCACATTCAGCACCGTACTTGCAGTTGCTGCATTTTGTGACTTTCTTGCCCGAATCTGTGCCTGATCCCTCATATTCTGTGAGACAGTGATAACACAAGTTCAATTAAGGCTATAATTAAATATAAATATAATTCAATTAAAGCTAAAAACAACAACGTTTTATTCAAGCATTATCATTAGCACTGAATTTCTGTTGCTGCCTTATTTACATGATATATTTTTAATGCAACTGTTTTCCTCTTATTTGTCCTTCACAGTTGTCCATTTGATTATAAATTATCAAATTTGGCAGATTTTTTAATTAAAGGCACATTGAAATTGAAATATGAAACAAACAATTATAGAAACTTTTTGATAATGAAAACATTTAGAAATTGGCATGATGTTTCCCAGACGACAAAACAAGTTCAATTTACGCTGATCTTCAAATTCAAAACGTTTTCACCTCCAGGCTCTTAATGCATCATTTTTCCTTCTGGAGCATCAGTGAGCGTTTGAACCTTTTGTAATAGTTGCGTATGAGTCCCTCAGTTGTCCTCAGTGTGAAAAGATGGATCTCAAAAGGGTTCAGATATGCAGAAGATGCTGGAAAACCGAAGAATTTGTGGGACCTGAAGGATTTGTCTGAAGAACAGCAGGCAGTTTAACTGTTCTGGACAAACAAGGGACTCATGAACAACTATCACAAAAAAAAACAAAAAAACAGCTGTGGATCATCCAGGTAACAACCACAGTATTAAGAATCAAGCGTATGTAATAATTTTTATAAATTGATACATTTAATTTGCTACTATTTTCTCTTGTGGACTATATGTAAACATCTTTTATGTGAATTATCTTATTCAGGTCAGTGTAGGTGAACTTTTGACCACAATTGTGTGTGTGTGTGTGTGTGTGTGTGTGTATATATATAAAAATGAAAGACCGAAGGGAACAAGCCCAAAAAAATGGCACTTAAAAAATTATAAATGAGACAAAAAAGTTAAGAACTATTATAATCTACCATTTAAAGACTTTTTATTTTATTTTATTAATGATGAATTTTATTTATTTATTATGATTAAAAATACTCAGTGGCATAACAGATTTCAGAAGTGGCCACTGAGCGAGTACATACTCAGCAGCACTTGAGTTGTGTTCCTGCAGTGGTCTGTAATTTGCTGTAATGACAGCTCTAGAGCGGCCCGTACGCACAAGCCTTCATCTTTAAAACCCGCTCCAGGGGAGGTTCAAACCCAGCGCAGCGCGGGGTCACTCTTTTATCACAGAACTGCCAACTTCAGCATGATGAGGCTAAAAATAACCTCCGATGGCATGTTTTGGCTGATCTACAGCGTTCCTGAGTGATGGGAGGTGACCCGTTTCTGGGATAATTTGAAGTCTGTAGGTCAAAATCCCAGAAATGACCACGTTTCAATTTCCTTGATGTTACCGTTGCTGCTTTATGGTCCGAAAAAAAATTGTAGGAAAAGAAAACAAACCTCCATCTCCAGATCCTGAGCTGCTATCTGGAACAAGAAAAGTAGGACTAATTATAACTTTCCATTTATAAATATATCAATATATGTCAAGAGTTCATACAGTGATAGCAGCAGCACAGTAGTGCATAGTCCTTGTATTATGTATTATTAACATGCATATCAAATTATTATGAGCCATGGCATGTAATTTGTGGATGAAAAGTAATCATGAGATTAATTAGAGCTAAAAATAAAGGTTGTCATGTATCAAATCACACTGCTCATTAGAGTCTGTAATATAAAGCTTCTGCATATACACAGGATGTTAAAATAGCATTTCTGGGCCTCAGAAAAATCGATCTAATTTGTAAAAGTGGCCCATCTTTATGTCTCTTGATGCCAATTTTGTCGCCAGTGGCCCGTTAGAGGCCTATCAAAAATGTAGTCTAAATAAAATCAAATGAACTTTTATGCAAATAAATATCTTGTTAATGTGCATCATTCATATACAAATAAATATATAAAAATGTATTTTATTTAATGTACAAAATGCAATAATGTTCCAACATTATGGAAAATGTCACTGAAAATGACAGAAAAGCCCATTTCAGTGACATTTTCCATATATATATATATATATATATATAAATAAATCTGCAAAAATGTCAACAATTCTGTGTTTTTCTGTCAATATGGGGTGCTGTGTGTACATTAATGAGGAAAAAAAATTAACTTAAATGATTTTAGCAAATGGCTGCAATATAACAAAGAGTGAAAAATTTAAAGGGGTCTGAATACTTTCCGTACCCACTGTATATATAGACTTTTAACTATTTATATTTTATTTTTTAACTTCATTCACACCAGCCACCCCAAAAAAAATCCCCATCGCAGACCAATGCTGATTGTTGCAGTATCTTAAAAAAACACTTAAAGGGGTCATATGATGCGATTTCAAGTTTTCCTTTCTCTTTGGA